AAAGTAGAAGCCCCTAACGGGCCTGAAAGGTGCAGGTAGGAATGTTCTGGGGCTGGACAAAGGCATAATCTGATCATTTGTTTTAGGAACAAAACAGCTTGTCCCCACAATGGACCAAAGCTAAATGCCAATGTCATCACCCTCTTAGCTGCCTCTTGTGAACTAGTAAAGGTAAAGGTAAAGGTTCCCCTTGACAATTTTTGTCCAGTCGTGTTTGACTCTAGGGGGCAGTGCTCATCCCCGTTTCCAAGCCATAGAGCCAGCGTTTTGTCCGAAGACAATCTTCCGTGGTCACATGGCCAGTGCGACTTAGACACGGAACGCTGTTACCTTCCCACTGAAGTAGTCCCTATTTATCTACTTGCACTTGCATGCTTTCGAACCGTGAGGTTGGCGGGAGCTGGGACAAGCGACGGGAGCTCACTCCGTCACGTGGATTCGATCTTACGACTGCTTGGTCTTCTGACCCTGCAAGCACAGGCTTCTGCGGTTTAGCCCACATCACCACCACGTCCCTCTCTCTTGTGAACTACATTCTGCTAAATTAAATTTTTATATTGTAACTCGTTTATACAGAAAAATGAGAAGAGTGCTCTTTAATATTGTAGGACAGGTAAGATATCTAATGTTTATAAAAAATCTAAACTTGCAAGATGCAGCATTTATTATATGTTTATTTAAATCATTTTACCCCACTCTTCATTTTAAGAAAAGACTCCTGAACTAACGTAGTAAGTTCAATACTAAAATTAAAAATTTTACTAGCAGGTATCAGTTCCTGAAATGGAAAATATGTAAGTTTAGTTATTGGGAGACTTGCAGAAGGAATTAGGTTACTGTATGAAATGTCTATTATGAATTAAAAAGACCACCTACTTGGTTTTAATACTACTTTACTCTGAATTTCAGTTGCAGACTTTGAGAAAATAAAGGAAATACTGAATCCTGGACTTTATAAAAGGAAAACATTATTATTAGTTCCTTTATAATAGTGATCTTAAAATATTCCTGCCCTTGTCTTATACAGTATAGAGAACACAGGATCAAAGATAAACAGAACATATGAAGGGGCTGTCAGAAGCCTGAATACACTGTGTTTATCATCCTTCCAGTTCTGTTAGGTAAAATTCTAACTACACAGGGGTTAAGGGAAAATCAGCAATGTAGACAGTTTTTGAAATACGAAAGGATTTACTTGTCAACAACATGTTTGTTTTTTTAAAAATTCTGCTTTTCCATGGAGTCTAATATAAAAGCACATTTCCGTTCTCAAAGGCATCAATATTTGGGAATCAGAAAGTACAAGTGGAACAGCACTTTTTTTGTAGTGTAAGATGAAAGGAAAACACTTCACAACCCTATTCTGAAGGGATCAAACCACCGGTAAAATAAAGAATATATTTTGTGTTCCTGGTAATGATGTGTGCAGAAGTACCTTTTAGAGCAAAGAAACAGATATGAAGACGATTTGGTAACAAGTCATTACAGAGATTGTTAAAAAAAAATGTTACCAAAGGACTATATGAATACTAGGTCTGATGGGGATTTTTGTTCCTCAGACACTATTGCTGTGTTGCTTACTTTTGGAGGAGATTACTTTTGCCTTCACCCTGATTATTTGAGTCCTTTTGAGGGTTTTGCGAGACTTAACTCAGCCCAGCCTCAGAGACACAAATGAGGAAAACCAAAATGAAAGTAAGGAAACATTTAAGTTTTTTTCAGGTTTCCTACCGACCACAGTGTTTTTGCACTGACTAGGAATGCGAGTTTGTCTTCTTTAATTCTTTGTAAATTCATGTTGTAATCTGCACTACTGAAAAAGTTACACTGCTTCTCTTAGACCTTGACTCTGTTTTCCCCACAAAAATCTGGAAACCTTATGCAGCAGTTCTGCTGGCTTCTGAGATTTGACCAGGCACTGCTCAGCCTCCTTCAAGGATATTTTTGAAACTGTAAACATCGGAGATGTGTTGCCAAAATTCTATGCAAGCACAGAAAACCCTGTTCAGCAATATTTAAGATCGTTATTTTCCACACTAAAAGAAAAGACACACGCGCACACTCACACAGACACACACACACACACAGAGATAGACAGAGAGAGAGAGAGAGAGAGAGAGAGAGAGAGAGAGAGAGTATCCTAAGGATTGGAAACCAAAATAGGTTTTCTGTGCTGAATTTTCTTGTGCTGAATTTGCTAACTATACATCCCAGAATAATGCCATCCTCTCTTCAAAGGAACAGAAGCATCTACTAAAGGTGGGAAAAGGAGCAAGGATAATGAAGCAGGAGAAGATCAGATAGTAGAACACAAATGATTATTTTCTAGGCATCAACTTCTGGCCTCTACGCCCTTCGGATGTCTTTTTTTTGGGGGGGGGTGTTATAATTCCTATGATCTTTTACTATTTGATATGCTGGATACCCAATGTGGAGAATGTAAGATAAGAAATGCACTAGGATTCAGGAGACTGGGTTCAGTTGGGTTCAGTTCCTTGGCACTGCCATGGAAACCCACTGAGGCAAAGGTGGAATGGGTACAACCACTCCTTAAATACCTCCGTTACCTTGAAAACCCTACCAGTCACGATCAATCAGTTCTGACTTGACGGCACAGAACAACAGCACCGAATATGCTAGTGAAGGAACCTGGCAGCCCAAAAACAGATGGAGAGCCACACAGTTGCTTGCCTCTGTTTACTGGAACTACTGCCAGGCAGGCAAAGGAAACCCTGTTTCAAGGATTTTTTTTAACTGTCTGTAGAACGGTCCTTAATGACCTTGATGTTCCTGTCTGCCTTGAAAGGAATGGCTATCCATCCTTATAAATCAGAGTTTTTACAGTTATGGTTACTCTAAATGTTTTGTTGTTGCTGCTGTTGCAGCTAATTATATTTTATTGCTTCAAAGTAGTACCATCCCCCCCGCCCCCCCCCCCCCCGCAATCCCATATGAGATCTTTGTGGCAAAACAGCAGTACTGTACAGTATAAACATATTTAAAGATGCAGAGATGCAGAAAAGAATAGATGCAGCAAAGGTCCCAAAGAGAGGCAGTTCTGCAGGGACTCAGGAAAAGTGCAGCAGCAACAAATACCTCCCCCCCCAAAAAAAAAACACCCAAAAGGACATGTCCTCCTTGCCCAGTCCCTGCTACTAACTGGTACAAAATATTTCTGCCTGGTGTTTATGACAGAATCACATTCCTTCATCTTGCTAATGCATTTGTTTCAATCTCACAGATTGAAAGAAAATAAAAGCTACAGTTAGGTAGTTAATAGGGAAGCTCTGAAAAAATTTCTCCCAGTGTTCCCAGGTCAGTTGTTATCTCCCTAGCTGGGATACAGCAGGGTTTGCTTCTCTAGTCCAGAGGAATGTTTTTAAAAGTTACATTACACTCTAAGGGCCACATGCACACAGCCCAGTATCTTGTTCTGGTCCACTATTGGGCTAGGATAATTGCGTGAGTGTTCCCTGTTATCTAGCAGGCTCCCTGTTGTATGCCCAGTCACACACTGGTTGTGAGATTAGTTGCACAACCGGTTGTGTGCATGGCCGTACAACAGAAGGTGTGCTGGAGTTGCAGAAAGCTTATACAATTTCCCTAATTTTCTGAATCAGATGCTAGGCTACAGAATCAAGATGTTTGGTTGTAAACAATAGAGTATTACTGATTTCCCAACACTGTATATGAGGCGATACAGAGAGTCAGCAGTTTCTACGGTTCACATTTCTCTCCATTGTGCATACTGTGGATGAAGAACTGCTGGCTGTGGGGTCAAATATTGCCCTCCTGAGACTCCATTGAGGTCTTTCGGCTTTCCCAAATGGCCATAAGCCTTTTCTCAAAATAGAGCAGGAATATAAATCTTACAGCTTCCCACTCTAAAAAAGAATCCAAGAAACAACCCCTCCCCCCATCTTTTTCCACTCACAACGAGATTTCTCTGTGAAGTTTGATTCCTTTGAAAAATCACATAGGAAATCTCATGGGACTTCTCAGAGGTGTCATGCTTTCTTTTCCTCTGAAGACACACTAACTGCAGATTACAATCCCTGTATCAAAAAGGCATCTTTCCTTTTGGTGGACTACTAAGCTGCACATAATTTATTCAACAACCCAAACCTCCACCACGTATACCCCAGGAAAGAGGAGATGGGGGTGTTGCATATTCATGGTAAGCTGAGAAATTTTGCTAGTAAAGGCAGAAGCCCCAGCCAAGAACAAGAAATTTTTCTAGTACAGTGGTGCCTCGCACTACGACGTTAATTCGTTCCAGCGAAATCGCTGTAGAAAGAAAACGTCGTAATGCGAAATTAAAAACCCATTGAAACGCATTAAAACCCGTTTAATGTGTTCCAAAGGGCTGTAAACTCACCGTCCAGCAAAGATCCTCCATAGGATGGCCATTTTCGCTGCCTGTGCAGCGAAGAATCCATCCCAGAAAACAACGGGGGGCCCATTTTGTTTACCCAGTGGCCATTTGGAAATCGCTGATCAGCTGTTGGAAAATTGTCGTTTTGCGAAGAATCGGTTCCCGAAGCAGGGAACCAATCATCGCAAAGCGAAATTCCCCCATAGGAAACATAGTTTTGCGATCACAAAAAGTTCATCGTAATGCGGTTTTGTCGTTAAACGGGGCAATCGTAAAGCGAGGCACCACTGTACTCTCCACATTCCAAGTTAAGAGCTTTAATGCAAAATATAGGTGGGCTTTTTTTTGTACACTCCTTGTCCTTTGGCCCTGACTATCACTGGAAGGCACCTTGACATCTTCTCTGAACTTGAATTCAACTCTTAGATGGAAAGAATCCCACCCACCCATGCTGAGCTGTCCTCTAATGGCCATATGAGGGTGTTCTCTTTCTCAGATCTTCAGAGACTTGACCACGAGGTAGAAAAATACAGAAGGGATGGAAAGGGGCAAGGAAGATGACAGAAAAGTGTGTGGGAGAGAACCCAGTTGGGAGGATGGTAAAAGGAGGCAAGGTTTTCTGTACCCGGAGGAAGGAATCTAGAGAGCCGTTCTCCATGAACTCCGTGACAATCATGACAGGGCGGCTCTTGGTGACCACCCCTTCCAGGCGGATGACGTTTGGGTGCTCAAACTGTCCCATGATGCTGGCCTCACTGAGGAACTCCCGACGCTGCTCCTCCGTGTAGCCTGCCTTCAAGGTCTTAATAGCCACGGTGTATTCTCGTTTCCCTGGAGGCTTCAGGCGCCCAAAGCACACCTCTCCAAACTCTCCTGCCAGGGTAAGAGGTGGAGAAGAAGACACCACATCAGACAAAGGAGCAGCTGCAGCTTGATCCAACTTAAACCAAGGCACTCTGTCAGAAACTGGATAAGGGAACAGCTGCCTTCTGGACTTCTTTTGAGACCCACGGCTCTGCCAACTACATTGCTGGCACAAAGGTGACTTATAAAGAGACTATATTTTTTGTAGCTTGAGAAGCTCAGGACAGAGTACATGATTCCTGCCTGTGTTATTTCCCTTTTCTGAGGTAGAAGGCAAAATGTGGAAGAGGCAATTTTATTCTGAGTCTCCCTCCTCGCAGCCAGACTCTCAAACCACTGCACCACATGGCCGAATCACTGTGCTGTGAAGATTCTCAGCCATCCAGGTGAGCTTATTTGGAGAGACTCCTCATGAGAAAGCTCTTCCTCAGGAGTGAGCGTCCTCTGGAGGTTTTTCTTCCCAGGGAGACCCAGACCAAATCCTGCAGCTGAGTTTTTCCCCTTGCTGCTCAAATATTGGTGTGCAGGGGGAGCGTCTGCAGCAGGCTGGCTATAAGAAGCTCTCAGTTGGGATTGCAAGCCATCGGAGACCAGGTGTCCATTAGTTCCCACTCTTGGAAGTACACCTAGCCCACCCTGAAGGGCACCTACCTCTGCCCCAAAATACTACTGGACCCTTCCTCAGAAGTGTACTTTCTCCCATCTCTGAAGTTGCATGGCTCCTGGATTGACTGAACGACACTGTGTGTGTACTATGGTAAGGATTGATCTAGCTTTGACAATGCTGCTCTGATTGTCTGCACTAGAGATGGGCACTTACATAACTTTGACACTTTGGTGCTATTAGGTGGATTGGGCACACGGGTGTTGTGCGGGTGCCCCAGTTTTCCGACCCCCTCCTGTGGGCGCTCTGTCAGAAGCAGTGCTGTGGGCCTCCCTGTCCCACCTCCTCCTCTGAGTGGCTGCCTGCAAGAGAAGGCAGGGGGTGGAATATGGGGCACCTGTGCCTCCTCCTCTGAGTGGGTGCCTGCAAGAGAAGGCAGGGTATGGAATATGGGGCACGTGTACAACACCTGTGGACCTGATCCATGCTGAAGCAAGGTAAGTGCCCATCTCTAGTCTGTACTGGTTGTTCTACCCCTTCCTGCCTTGGTGTTCCCCTGGCTGGGACACCTGATTGGTGCTACATAGCACAGGGCGCCATGCTCCTCAAGAATATAGCCTGGTGCTTGCATGCAGAAGTATTTTTATACTTGCATGTATGTCCTCCTTCATTATATCGCCAATCATCTGTCCTTTCATTTCAGCTGGACCTGGCCACAGGAAGCAAACTGCAATACTAGTCCAATAAGTAGGTAAATACTTGGGATCCATCATGGGAGAATTAATGATGCTTGCAATTCTTGAGCAAGCCAGACACACTGCAAAACGCCAACATGGTAGGAAAAACACAAATGGTAAAAGGGTCCCTTTGTTACCTGATCCAATGACCTCCTCAATCTTGACAAAAGACACATCGATTTCCTTAGCAAATTCCCGGATAGCTTCATTGGGGTCTTCATAGGTGGAAGGGTCAATGTAATATTTGACCCCAAGACCTGTGTGGAGAAAAAGAGATTTCAGAGTCAGTCATGTAGCCGGCCATCAGGGTTGGACAGACAATTAAAGAGACTGCAGCCACTCAATCACTTACCTCGTGTGCTGATGTATTGTTGCAGGCGGTCTGTGTAGGGCGTCTCTCGCCTCTTACTGTTGAGGGAGGCAAAAGAAAATGGAAAGTGAAACAAAATACATAGCTTCCCTGTAGCAACTGCCTCTTAAAGGCCGGTGCAAAGCGGTGGGAAGATGCATACCAGGGCATACCAAGGCAAGGTACAAGACCAAGAGAGTGCAAGGAAGCTTCTTTGGTTCGGGGGGGGGGGGCACACACACAATTTGTGTACAAAAAGTGTTGTGGAGTGGGTCCGCATGAGCTGGCCACTAAAATCCAGGTATGAACATGTGTTGTCCATAGACCATTGGAGGATCCTTACCTGTTCTAGACTAGAGAATGCAGATTACAGTTTTGGGACTAAAACATTGGGGGGAAACTTGTGACCCTCCCTCTAGCTACAATGGACGGCAGACCTCCTCAACCCTACCCATCAGAGCCAAGCATGACTGTTTCAATCCAACAACCTCTGGAGGGCCAGATGTTCCCCATCCATGGAGCAGGGGGGGGGAAGTGACAGATTTGGCATAATCCCCCTTCATTTCTAGCAGTGACTATATGACTCTTCTCAAAGCACACCCTGTTTTGCTTTATTTCAATATTCTGTTCAACTTTCAAGGTTCTGTTAGGACTGATCTACCACACGAACAGGCTGGTTGCAGCATTACCCTGAAATGTGAGAATCCCTTGGCCCAAGATCCTTTTTACCTTTCTTGCTGCTGCATGATCCAGTTACATGCAGCTTGACTCCTGAGGGAAAAGAATGGTTTCCCTTGCACAGGTATCTACCCACCAGACCAGAGAGAGTTTTCTGTCTTTAGGTTTCCCTTACATGACGCCTACAGACAGAAGAGACAGTGAACTCTTTCTTCCTAGTGGAGATGTGAGGCACGACAAGATCTCCAGAGACCTAGGTCTAGATATTAAATTATGTCTGGGCTCTTTCACAAGAGGGGTTCATACATGTTGATCAACCAAGACCTTTAGTGAAGTAGCAGCAAAAAAACACCTCACCTCTTGAAGACAATGGCAAGGATGGCAATGGCAGCAATCACCAAAAAGGCCAAACCACCAAGCGCTGAACCTACAATAAGTGGCAATCGGTCCTGTACCATCTCAGAGCGCTCACCTGTTCAAAAGGGACAGTGTCAATAAGCCTCATCTTGACATCTTCTCTGTCATCATGAACCCTCCCAATAACACACGCACACACGCACGCACACACCCTCGTATTTTTCCCAGTGTCAATAAGCCTCATCTTGACATCTTTATCATCATGAACCCTCTCAATAACACATGCACACACACACACACTTGCATTTTTCCGTGTATAAAATGATACTTTTTCCTAAAATAATTAGGGGGGAAATTGAGGGTCATTTTATACATGGAAGGAAGCAGAGGCAAAGGAGCACTCGTGTGCATCCGGGCGCCTCTTGCTGCCACCGCCGCCCAATTGCCTCCTCCAGTGTGACTGCCGGGGCTCACCTCCAGCTCATGTCACCACCTTGTCCCCTCCAGTGGTGGAGGCAGCAGCAGGAGGCAGAGGCAAAGGAGCACTCGCACACGCCCAGATGCCTCTTGCTGCTGTCCATTGACTGATGCCACCACATTGCTTCCTCCAGCGCTCCCTTCAGGAAGGGGAAAAGGCAGCAATTACGTGAACTACTTCCTCCAGCGCTCCCTTCAGGCAGGGGAAAAGGCGGCAATGACGTGAACTAGAAGTGAGCCCCAGCAGTCACAATGGAGGAGGTGATCTGGTAGCGGAGGCAGCAGCAGCAGGAGATGGAGGAGCAGTTGCCCATTAACTGTTTCTCTGTCTCTGGCAAGGGTCAAAATTAAGGGGCCATCTTATACATTGGGGGGTCACATACATGGAAAAATACGGTATATATGGACACACCCTCCCAACCTGTTGTCAAGAGCATTGGGGGGGAGAAACCTGTAACTTTGAGAACATCTGGTGCTCTAAGGCTGAAGTTTCCTTCATTATTTTGTGTCCATGGGCTCTTACTAAACGACTAAACACACACACACAAGGCTGAAGTTTCCTTCATTATGTTGTGTCCATGGGCTCTTGGACAACTCTTGCCTCCAAAGAATAGCCCATTGGCTTCTCCATATCTGGTAGAACCACATTATCTTCCAAGTCTTGCTTAGACTGCCCAGGGAACAAGCAATTGTGACTCTGCCTACAAAGTCCCAAGCTTTATGTAGTCTGACACTACCATACACAGAGTCCCTCAGTCTTGGAGTCATAGACTCACTCATGCACACCACTTCACTCCTGTTTTGACCACCCACTCCCTATCACCTTGACACAGGCATCCTAATACCTGCTTGTTCGCTTGCTTACTCCTCTACTGCCTATTTCAGTCCCTTTGCGACTGCCATGCTGGGAGGTCAGTACAGTATCTTCAGCCATCCTTTAGTGTCAGCTGATAATATCTGGGGATTTGAGAAGATCCACCCTCCCACCAAACACTATAGGTGACAATCTACCACAGCATTTTCAGTTCAGATCCATGCAGGATGGATTATGTCCACACTGAAATGAGGTTACACTCTGACTATACACAACCATGAAAAGAGAGATTGAGAGAGAGAGATAGATAAGGCATGTGTTAGCCTGTAAGGTATGTGAGTGTTGTTAAGGTTTATGAAGCATGAACAAGGTACTGGTGAAAAACCGGTATCAGTAGGCATGAGAAAAAAAGATGGTAACTCTTGTTTGGAACAATTATAACAGTGCATCACTTACCTCCCACCAAGGTTTGGAAATACATATTTCCACTGTATGGCCCATAACCCACTGCTGTCCGGGCTCGCACCTGGAAGGCATATATCTTTCCCGGGCTCAGATTGGAGATTGTGGCCATATTAGTCTCGCTGGTTAAGGTGAAAGAATTGTCCTCATCTTCTGACTAGGAATCAACAGGCAGCCAAGAGAAGTTAGTAAGCATAACTCTGCTTCTCCCTCCCCAATAATCTCTCCTCCCAGACCCACCATTATTTTCTCTAAACAGCTTAGCTAAGCAGCCCCCTCAACACCACCTTCCATCTTTGGCTCTAACTGTGGGCCTGCTGAATGCTGCTACCTGTGCTGAAGAGAAAAAAAGCAACTGAAGAAGAAATCAGGAATGGCTTGAATAAGAGAAGATTGCCACAGTTAAATTCTTCAAGAATTGCTCAAATCTCATTTGGTGTGTTGAACGGAAAGAAGGATGCAACAACTGGCCTCTTATCATTTTCCTAAGAGCTTGTTTCTACATGGCTTCAGTGGAGTGGAAGAAATGTCCTGTATTATTCAGGCAACATGAAAACTCTGAAGTCAAAGTGTGGTAGGAGATGGCTTCAAACTCGTACCAGTGTTGCCCCCACTCAGGAAGAAGCCTGTTCTGACATGGGTACATACTACATTTTCACATTTTTCCATGTGGACTTTTCCCAGACTGCTCTTTTTCAAGAATGACATGAGCTGCAGAAGTTCCCAGGCTTCTGAGGTAACATAAGAAAATGATTGCTGAGACAAAATGGCTTCCTTCTCCAGTGGCAAAGTTTATTGCTTGGAGCTAGCCCTATAAGGCAGAACTGAACTGTTCTTCGGCCCCATGTTTTCCCCAATGGAGCCCTGGGAACTGTAGTTTTATAAATGTGCAGAGAATTTTGTCAGACCTTCTTTACATCAGGATCTCAGTAGACTTCATCCTTGCAGGATTTCACTTTAATTCATTCTATTAATACACTTTGTTTTTACTAGAATCCTGTGATCCAGCCTGGTGAGTCCACGAATATTTTGAGTACCAGAACTGAGCTGCATTCACAGTCCTTCATCACCAACATCTGCTCTTGTTTATGACAAACACAACCCTGGTTTTCATCTTTTCATTCATATAACCAGGGTGGGAGTGGGCTGTCATTTTGTTCCTACGTACTGTTGTTAAATAATGGGGAGTCAGAAATCATTTTCAATTCATAGCAATTCATCCGGAATTTACTAGGAGATCCAGCAACAGGATACAGTGGTTGAATTACTGAATTACGCTGAACTGAAAGCGGGAGGGAGATGCAAACTCAGGTAAAGACAGATGAAGGCTTATGCACCGATAAGAGCAAGCAGCTCTAATGGGGCCCAATAAAAGTCTTTATAAAAATGTATGGAAAAAGGCAGGCCACAAATCACACAATATCTGGTGCCTATATATGAAAGCCAAGAGTATGGAAAACAAAACAGAAGAACTGGAAATCATAGTTCAGGAGGGAAAGTATGACTTGATAGAGATAACCGAAACATGGTAGGATGTCTCCTGTGACTTGGATACAGCAACTGAAGGATATAATTATTTTCAAAAAGAACAGAAAGGATAGAGGGGGTGGTGGAATTTCACTATACGTAGAAAAGAGAATCCTGGAGGATGGAATTAGCTGGATTAATATAATTAGGTGAAAAAAATAAATGGAATATGGTACTTCGGGTCTACTACCAACTGCCCAACCAAATAGAAAATGAGGATCAAACCTTTGAAAAACAAATTTCAAGAGTTTCAAAGAGATGTAATGTAGTAGTGATGGGAGATTCCAATTATCCTGATATCTGTTGGGAAGCAAATTCTGCCAAACATGGCCCCTGTAAGAAATTCTTGGCTTGTGTGACTATTGATTTTTTCCTATAAAATGTGGACATTTAAATGTTGACTAGTGTTATCAACATTTCTTAAGACTCAAGTCTCAGGTCAGAATCCTTCTGAATCTTGTGCGACCATGAAAAGGCAACCATGCCAGTGACATTAGCTGTTTCACAAGCTACTGTTTCCAGGTTGCACCATCAATCCCTGGTCCTTTTCTGGCTGCACCCTTAAAACATAGTATAGGCAGCCTGGTAAATGCCAAAAAAAAATGCTGTTACATATCCAATAATACCCAACAGGACTCTGGCCTTATTTTCTCAGCCTGCTCTCTTCTCACTTCATGGGGATCTTCTTGTCCCCCTATAATTCCCCCTTTCCCTCCAGCACTTGAGCCCTCACAGAGAAGCAGGCCAGCCTTTTCTGCCTCCACCTTACCTTGTCGAAATAGCGCAGCTGATAGTCCAAGATGATCCCATTGGGTTGGTCAGGTTGTGGCCAGGATAAAGTGATGCTGCTCGTCGTGCGACTCACTTGATGCATCATGGGGACTGCAGAAGGGACTGCAATGAGAAGGAGGTAAGAGAACATGAGGAAAGGGGCTTATGTAGGAAAATGTAAACCAGGGCACCAGCTGGCATTTGAAACTTGGTTGTAGTTCATTTATTTAAAACATTTTAATCCTGCTTTTCTCCTTAAAGGGACTCAAGGCGGCTCACATCATTCAAAAACAGGATTTAAAAGCTAGAAACAGTAAGGATGCAAATATTTTAAAAGAATTATTGTATTAAAAAATGCAATAGAATTAAAAAGTATTGTATTAAAATAGTAAATAGAATCAACATTAAAACACATTTAAAACAACAGAACTCAGCAGTCTATTTTTTTAAAACATTAAAACACATTTAAAACAACAGAACTCAGCAGTTTATTTAAAAAAAACTTTCTCAGACCACCAGTCATTACAGAAAAGCCTGTGTGAAGAGAAAGGTTTTTGTCTACTTGCAGAAGGACAGTAAAGATGGGGTCAGCCTAGCTTCCCGTGGGAGGGAGTTCCAGAGTCTGGGAGCAGCAACAGAGAAGGCCCTCTCCTGTGTCCCCACCAAGTGTGTTTGTGGGTGATGGGCCCTCTCCTGTGTCCCCACCAAATGTGCTTGTGGGTGATGGAACTGAGAAAAAGGCTTCCCCTGACAATCTTAATGCCTGAGCAGGCTCATAAGAGGGCAAAAGGCTTCCCCTGATGATCTTAATGCCTGAGCTGGCTCATAAGAGGGAGATGAGGTCTTTCAGATAGCTGGAACCCAAGCCAATTTAACCTACAAAACCCCATTTGGGGCTTTGTACGTTGAAACCAATACTTTGAATTGTGCCCAGAAATGGATCGGCAGCCAGTGGAACTGTTGTGATAGGGGGAGTTACCTGTAACCAGCCCCAGCTAACAACCTGACTGAGGCATTTTGAACCTTTTGGAGTTTCTAAACACTTTCTAAAGGCAGCCCCATGCAGAGCGTGTGAAAAGTAATCCAGCCAAGAGATAAATAGGGCATGTGTCACAGTGGGAGATGCATAAATCTCTTCCCATCTTTTATTTTCCTATAGAAAAATTTAGTCCTCTACATGCAGGACACAAAATTAGGGGAGACTCCTGGGGCCAGCGGAAACTTCTTCTCCTTTTAAAACTTCAATACATGGGGAGAGTCCTAGATACAACCCAGCTGGGAACATGTTTAAATCTTTTTCCATGTATGCCTGCTGGTCACAATCACACAGTTTATAGTTGGCTGCCTAGTACTTGTTTAACATAGTGTGTTGTTTGATTCTCAGTGGAATCAGTGAAATATAAACACATTGAAGAGATCCAAAAATGTTTTTCAATTGTCTTATATTTTCTTGTGTCATTTTTCTCTTTGTTTCTTGATTCCTGTCATGTGCTCTTGATTAGTTTTCACTCTCCATGGAGGTCTTCCTAGAGACGTTCACGGTTTCTTTTCCCTTTGGGTATCTGTAAAATCTAAATATTTCTGACCAACAGCTCAAAAGAAGGTAAATGATGCAGAAATGCAGGATCTGTGAGAGAAGGAGTCAGCTGCTTTGAGGGGGCAAGGCAGAGACCAGATTTAAGCGTTCAGGTCAGCTGTGGCTTTTTATTTGGAAAAAAAAAAGAATATTAGAGAAATCACCACAGATGCTTTTCCGCCCAACTATCACAAAGTCTCAGTTCTTGCCTTGCCTGCCAAGTTCCTTCTTACCATCCTGTATGTTTGAGTCACGGGGTTATACTGTAGGCATTTTTTAAAATAATGGTCTTCCACCTCCCCTTTTTATGCAGACTAGTGAACAGTACATTCCAAATTTAATTCACTAATGCTGATTATTTGGCATGGGGAAATTAATTTGTTGGTATTGTTAAAATACTGGGATTGAATGCAGTGCCTTACCATTAATCAATCTGCTAGCCAAATAGTTACTTTTAAACGACACCACAGCTGAAACCTTATTGCCAGCATAATGTAAATGTCACCGCTTTTGTTGAAAGTTGCCAAATCAGTGTAGACATTATCAATTGTGCACTCAGTCACACAACGCAGCATGCAACAGGTAATGTTACACTGGCTTCACATTTTGTGGCAATTCCTCTCCAAAAGCTTTACCATTTACACTTTGGGGACCCTTGGATTTTGGCCCACGGTCTTCACAGAGAATAGCACATTTGGTTGTCTCAATGTCACAATTCATCATTGGCTCCTTCAAAAGTGCACTTTTTATACTATTTCCATTGCTTTCCCTAAGCTGACAGATTTCAGAGGCATCAGGCTTCCAATCCTCTAATCTGATCAATGGACAGGCATGGTCACATTTGGCTCTAGACAGTGTCAGCTTGAGGAAGGCTGTCTTAAAGCATGGGATGTAACACTTTGTTCATTTTTGTTTTTGTAACCAGTCTATATTTGTCTCTCCTTCCCTCCTCCCTCGCCACAAAGCAAGTGGCATACTGTTTGCTTCTACATCAAACCCCATGGATTGCTTATCTGTATTGGAAAAGATTTATACAAGGAATGATGTGTTCATTCCAAATGGAGGACGGCTGATCCACCGCAAAAGCAAATACAGCATTAAGTAGCTACAAAGAACAGAAGGTAAATCAAGGGCAGAGTGTTGATACTCTGAAATATTTTGAGAATCTCTATAAATATGCAGAGTGTTTTTCTGTACTGTTGAGTAATTGCATCCTCTGCCTCCTCACTTTCACAGAACCAAAAAGTGTGGTCTGTAAAGATCAGTACTGGGGCACATGTTTTCTAAGCAGTGACCAAGGATTCCAGGTTTGAGCCCCACCATTCACAGTTTCTAACAACCGCAGCATTCTCCAACTGATGTCCTCTTGGGATTACCATACAGTACTTCCTAAAATGAAAAACGGGGTAAAACCTTTTATTCGTTACACCATTGGAATATTAAATGCTGTTACCAGAAAATGCTGCTGCAGCTGCTACTACTAATACTATACTATGTAGTCAGTTCAGACTTATGGTGACCCTCTTCAGTGTTTCCTACACATAAAATACTCAAATGTGTTTTAACATTCCCTTCTTCTGGGGGTGCTCTGGGACTGCGCAGGTTGTCCAAGACTACACAGGCTAGCTCTTCCCCCTGAAGGCATAGTGGGGAACTGAACTCCCAGCTTCTGTCTCCATTGCCAGGTACTTCATTCAATGAACTATCTGGCTGGTTAGTTAGCACATAACGAGGTATATGGAAGTAGTTATTGCTAAACTCTGATAACTAGTGTTGTTAACCAATAAATTAATTCATCAAGTCTCACTGAGTAGTAAGGTACTCCTTAAACATGCAGCTACTTAATTTTAATGAGTTGTTTCCAAGCACCAGCCAGTACAGTGTTTTGTATTTATGTGGATGCAGATCTCCAACTGCTTCTACCTGGCAAGGTGCTGCGGTGCACAGCCAGGTCCAGGACTGGCACATCACTGCAGCAGCTTCCACAGCTGGCGTTCTGCACATGTAAACACTGAACAGGAGGCTGCCCTCTGATTTCCACACTGTGAAGCAAGAGAAAGGAAGATGGGTTTTGCCTTCCACTACAGTGTCATGCTGTTTTCCTGAGATGCTCCCTGCCAGCTTTCTCTAAACATTTGGTAGAAAGGTGAGAAAACATGGGGATAATAGATGGAGATTTTAAAACAAACATACTAAGAGAAAAGCAGATGCTCGAATAAATAATAACGATAGTGTGCTGTCAAGCCAATTTGGACTTACGGTGATGCTTTGCAAGGTTTACTAGGCAGAGGGTACCAAGAAGTGATTTACGATTCCCTTCTTCTGGGGGCACCCTAGGACCGTGCAGGTTGTCTAAGGCTTCAGAGACCGTCCTTTTCCCAGAAGCCACAGTGGGGGAATCAAACTCCTAACCTCTGACTCCACAGCCCGATATCTAACTCACAGATTTATCTAGCCAGCTAAAAAACCTAAACAGGAACACCAGAAGCCACAAAGGCTGGGATGGCACAGGGAGACAAAATGAGAAAATCTCTTGTATAGATCTTTGGTGTATTACAAAAACCACTTACTTGACCTACCAAGTGCTATATGGACTCCTTGTAGTTAAAAAGTGTGCACTGAAAAAGAACATGTTTCAAGAGGACACTACCAGGCTCCTGGAACTCTCTAACACACACAGAGGGTTTTCTGCCTTCAGGAAACCCCCCCTCCTCTCCTATTTCAAAGCAAAACTAGAGAGTTGCAGCACCTTGAAAACCAACGGATTTATTTCTATGTGAGCTTTAATTGACCACAATCTAGGTTGTCAGACACTACACCTTGTTTTCATGTTGGCCAAAGGAATGCTTGCTTGATGTTGTAAACTGCACTAGCATAGGCCCATTGATTTGGCAAGTCAACTCCTCCATAACTTGTATTGATGCCAATGGGCTGACTCTAGCTATGGCTGACTTTAGCATAATATGTCAAAGTTAGAGTAGGCCCATTTGAATCAATGGAACTAATGAAGAAACACAAGATGCCACGAAACACATTTTTTAAAATCATTGTTTTTAAATGTTTAGCAGTTGTAGCAAAACAACTCCTATTGGGGACTGGAAATAAGGTTGCACCAGAGAGAATCGGTGATGAGAAAAAAAATCTGAAATACATTGCAGTGTGAAACCTGGAAACATCTGGGCCAGTGGGTACACATCTGGTAAAACTGAAATCACCAAAGGCGCTCGCTTTCTTCTCAGCACTGGGAAACATAAAAGGATTGAGGGTGGGTTTTTTTTCATATAAAACAAGAGGAAATTACTCTGGGAGAAGCAAATCAAAGAGGCTTTAACCAGCTTAGGCAAGCAGGAACCAGCTTCAGGTACTGTAAATCAAGAAAAAAAAATACAAGGGAATGATCATGCTGAAATATTTTATGTACACCTTTTCCCTTTACTCTCTCCCTTCCCCCTCATCTCAGATCATATCTGGAGAAAAACAACAACAACATTTTGGTTCAAATAGAAGATGTTTTATCTAGTACTATTATCTTAAAATGTACATGGCA